ATATATATATTGGTGTATTATGAAAGGTATAAATATTAATTAATTGGTCTCTGTATTTACACTTATATATGATTGTAAATATATTCCCCTGCCCACGGTGGGCAGTGCTCACTAGTTTGTTTTATATAAAAAAACGTATTTTGAGAATACGTTTTTCAATTATATTTAATTAAAAAACGTATTCTCAGAATACGTTTTTCATATAAAACAAATAAGTGGACACTGCCCACCGTGGGCAGGTGAGCGGGACTGTATATGATTGTGCCGTGCAAATAATTCTTTTTATTTTTTTTAGCTCATTGTAGATATTTTTTTTTTTTTTTTAATTTTAAAATGAGTTTTGTTGGTTTCGTATGGATATCATATAAGATTTCTTTGTTTTGTTTGGATTTTTAGTTAATCAGCGTTGATTTTAAAAAAAAAAAAACGTGATATGGTTAGTTGTTAATGAAATTTTGAGTTTATATTAAAAAATATTTAAAATTAGATAATTAATGTTGATTTATTGTAAAAATAGGAGATAGATGATGTGGGTAGTTGAAATTTCAATGCGGGAACAACTAATCGTTAAATAATTAAATAATTGAAGGCCTAGCAATGATACAAGTAAGTATATAATTACGTACTTCATTAATTTGGTTTTGTGTGTATATAATTTCAATTTCAATGGTTCATTAGCTTTTGAATTAATAATCAAGTTATCTATAAAGAAAATATTGTGGAGATTATCAAATGACCATTTTAAGTTTGCTTATTGGCAACTGTATAAACAAACTTTTACTATATATATTAACCTAAACTCATACACAACACCCAATCTCGGGCTAATTCGATCCTACAGGTGAGGCAGTGCCCTCACCGCCAGGATCGAATTTGCTCCAATCTCGTTCATCCAAAAAACATGCCCAATAGACTCTAATTATAGAGTAGGTTTTATGCATGAAAATCATGTTTTAGGTCCAAAACCTAGCACACAAATTAGAAGTATATAGATAGGCCACACCCTCCATGTTTTCAACCTACACTTGGAAAAAAAAAAAACAATATGTTCATATTCTTTTTTCCATTTTCCTCTTACACATGTGACATGTGTATAGATTCGACGAATTAGATCCACACAAAAAGAAATAAAAATTACTTTTAATTGAACAGTTAAAGCCCACGTAGAACAATGTACTAATGAATTCACTAATAGTGTATGCAAAAACAACTCAATTGAAACTCGAACACAAATTCTTGTGTGAGCTACAGTCTAACTGAGTCAGCCCGTCATATTATGTGAACAAAAATGCATACTTATATTATCAAATATTCAAATGTCGTCATACTTTGTTGTAATTTGGCTTGTTATTTTTATTTAAAAAAAAAAATGTATCATATTTTTTAATGAAAATATGCGTAAAATTGACAAGAATATGGAAAAGAGTATGCCGACCTAACACAAATATAATAAAAATCAAACTCAATTAAACAACATTTTAGAGGAATGTTTCCCTCTTTTTTTCAACTTGCTCGGGAGAAGGAATATGACAGCATTAAAAACAGGTATGTTGCAACATTTCTTCATTAATGTTGTGGCTGTTTGTTGCTCCAAGTAACTGTTTCTTCAACCCTCTTGAAAATAACAATTGAATAGGAAAACCATAAGTAATGGGTCTCCATATCTGTACAATTATTGGGCGGTGTGTTTGGTTCAAAGGCTAAACGAGTCAAGTAAACTAAACATGACAATTGAATGTAATTTTTGAGCATGATCCAATTCTATATATCTATATATTTATATAAACAGATTTATCATTTTTCAAAAATAGCAGGTCAAATTTTGGTCAAAATCATTTTGCATTAATTATATTCCATTCTTATTAACTTTTTTTTTTTATAAAAAAGACATCATTAAATGTTACCCATTAATTAAGGATTTTGTTATTTTTGTTTTCAACAAAACCATGAATGTTGCCTATTATTTGGGGTTGATGTTGTTTTATTTTTAAAAATCATGTTTCATAAAGGAAATAACTATATATCACCCTAAATTGGTGGATAATTAAATTATCTTGCTTTACGTCTTTACTTGCTTAATAAATTAATTAGTGCTGATTTAATACTCAACTGGTCAAATATTTTTTATTTCAAATTAAGAAATAAATATGTATAACCGATAAAAAAAGAATTAAATATGTATAGATAATATATTAATTATTTTACAAGCTAGCCATAATATACAAGTGAAAAATATATGATTACTCTATTGATTTTTAGACTTAAACGAACAGAGTCATCTGAAAATAATTTATTTAATATATATGTCTCGTGCATTGCACGAGTACGTACTTGTATCAAGAAAAAACAAATGCAAAAAACGAAGTGTCCCTTTTTATTTTCCATATTATGGTTTGACGCTTTAGATGTTTACTATACTTTTTATTATTTATTATTATTGTTACAAAAATACAATAGATATGCTATTCATATAGAGTCTTAAATCAAAAAAGCAATGAAGTTTATGATTTTATGACAAAATAACTCACAAATCAACCATTAATTTATGAGTTTGTAGATTGCACCTACCTAATGTAAGAATATGTGGCGCGAAAGCATTAAACTTATAATTAATTATCCTATTGGGCTAGGTCTTTATATAATAATCAAATAAATTTAAGTCATTAATCTGGATACTTGATGTACGTACCAGATATAAAGTCACTCCTATATAAATTACTAAATTAGTCATCTTTCATCCTATTAGGGTACGCAGTATTACTATTATCTCATCAATTGTCTACTACGTTAAGAGAAGGCCAAGAGTAAGAAACTGATTTAGATCTACGAATTGATCGAGCCCCGTGTGTTCACTTCAAGATCAATATCACATATTATGCCGTCTTCCGCATAAAGTAAGTATTACGTATACACTCCAAATTATTTATTCAGATCCGTGATTGAGCTTACACCCAAGAGCTAAGTGAGTTTATAATGATTAGACTTGTTACCTGAACCGGTTATGAGCTCAGCTCAACTAATTTTAATAAGGTAAAAAATCTCGTCCTACAAAACTAGACGTATTTGAATTCATTTTGATTGCTTATTATTATTATTATTATTATTATTATTATTATTATTATTATTATTATTATTATTATTATTATTACCTTATATTGGTTTTGGATTCATTTTGTTAACAATCGAATTTAACTTGTTATTGTTGATGAATGAGTAAACTCGAGTTTATTTATTGATTTTCTATTTAGTTAAGGAGCCGATTGTGAGCTCAACTCGGTTCATTTTCGAGAATAAGGTTTTTACGTATTTATTTATTTTTTATTTGCTTCGAATTCGATTTGTAAATTTTCCAATTTAGATATCCTTAATGTTGATGGGTGAGTAAACTCAAGTTTGTTAACTCCAACAATTATAAGACATATAGTATTAATTAATACCTCAAAAAATCAATGAGCTTAAATTTAAGGAAGCTTTTAGTTTTTTCTTGGTTTTCAACAAATCCAAACATCATCTACCTTTCATTACTAACTCCAACTTAGAAGTTAATATGTTATGAAAACTATTACTACTTTATAAAATTTCTACTACAAGGCCTTATATTATTCGCTCTATAAAGAATATTTGACTACACAAGCTAAATTTAATAAACTTAACTCATGTTAAATTGTAATTACACATCTATCCTAAATTCAACAAAAGTGATGTAGGGAAAGTGCACGAATGGGAAGGATAAAGAGATACACTCTCTTGATAATACGCAAAAACAAATTTTTTTTTTATTTCAATGGATAAACTGATCGTATATTCTGCCAGACTACTAATAAATAGACTAACAACAACAACAACAACAACAACAACAACAACAACAACAACAATAATAATAATAATAATAATAATAATAATTAAACTATTAAACTATCCTCATAATAATAATGACAAATGATATCACTAATTTAAGGCTCAAATTGACTAGCATAAATATAAGCAATGGCTTGATCTTTCATTAAAACTCACACTCAAACATGATTTTTTTTCTTGAATTCCGCTTAAGTTCAGATAAATCACATTTATGCTCGACTCACTTAACGCTCGAGCTTAAAACAAACAAACTCGAGTCAATTTTGAATTAAAATATGAGCCTTTGAAGTGTTCGAGCTCGACTCAACTTGGTCAAATTTGAGCCGAGTTATGACTTTAAACGAGAGTCGCTTCGATTGAGAGTGGAAGAAAATGGTGTTGGTGCATTTGAGTCATTTTACACCAAATTCAACACTATCTCTGCTAAATTTTCGATCTCAACGCCTCCATCTTCAAAGCAAGAAGAAAAATTACGCCGCATTGTGATATTCGGCAGAACGATTTTTTCCGTCTCTACCTGCAATTCCTTTTCCCCTCAACCATGGTAAAATCTCGACAATCTATCACTATTCATTCTTTTTATTTTTCATCAGTTTTGTACTTAAAAGCTCATGTTGTAGATTCACTTGTAGCTCGTGTTCTTGTTTTTTTACCTTTTTCTGGTCGAATTTTATGTGAAGTTTTTAGGTAATTCTTTGAATTTAACGACGCTGGTGATTAATTCATCGAGAATTTCATCAATTTTTGGGGGTATACATATTAGGGTTTTTTTTTTGGATAAAAATCCAATCTTTTCCTGATTGATGATATATATTGGCAAGCTAGCTGTTTGGGTTTTCTTAATTTCTGCTACGTTCATCATCGGTTTGGGAAAAAAAAAGGTGAAATTGAATGTATGAAGATCAATTACCTGCTTGCTCTCGACGAACCCACAGTCTGTTTTCGACTTGAGCTAATAAATTGGTGAATTATATATGTTGAAATTGGTAAGAGTAAGGCTATGAGTGACTGATGAAATGTGG